CCAAAGTATTTGAGTTTCATCTTCAGTATCTGGCCTTCTAAAGAGCAGTCAGGGTTGATCTCCTCTAGGACTGACCGGTTTGATCGCCTTGCGGTCCAAGGGACTCGCAGGAGTCTCCTCCAGCACCACAATTCAAAGGCCTCAATTCTTTGGCGCTCAGCCTTCCTTATGGTCCAACTTTCACAGCCATACATTGCAAGTTATTTATATACCAGACTTTAAATGTAGGTATGTATGATGGGAAAACCAAACTCTCAACTGGATTCACTTGCCTTGGCTGAGTTAAAGAAGGAGGGTTGAGTTGGAATGAACAGTGTATAGGATCCTTTGGGCTAGTTCAAAGTAATGCTTTCTCTGTTGAGGCCCTATTGCAAGGGAAGAAGATGTTAGATTTTCAGGATGGCATGAGGGAGAAGTCAGGGGACTCTTGTGGATGAACTGGAGAAAAGGTGCCTTGCTATTCCCTCCTATGATACACTACATTCATCTTCTTTCTGGGGATTTATTTCCTGCTCAGGTTGGGGTAGATACTTGTACGCCACCAAGAGGCATGTAGTTTTTAGGATAGCTTCTCTAGTGAAATCATGGAGGAAATATTCTTGGCTCCCACATATGTGTTTCAAGTATATGACTAATAAGTTTTCTATTGAGTTCTTTTAACTGGGTCTAGTTCTTATGAATATGCCTTAAGGCTGTAAGTAGGTCCCATTGAACTCAGTGGACCTTACATCTGAGTTGCATAGAATTGTGCTGTAAATCAGCATGATACATGCTTTAGTTTATTGTGAACAAAATCAGCAATGGGTTTAATTTAATGTTCAAACAATCGTAATTGAGGGAATAGGAATCAAAACCCTCGCCCTGCTACTTTGTTGCCACCAGAAGTTCTGATGTTATGTCTATATTTCTAGCACAGAGCACAGTGTGCATTTGTCCAGATGGGGCTACAAATTAACAATTTGATTTATATGCTTTTTTCAACAGGGTGAGAGAAGCTGCAATGACGAGCTTAATGGAATTGACTCTGTTACTAACACGGACTGAGCCTGAGTTAATCGATGCAAATGTGTATGTAGTTTGCAAGAAGTCTGCGTGTGCTTGTTGTATTTTCTTTTCATTTTGGGAATAGGCTCATTCGAGTCATATCTTCCACTGATGGAATTCAGTTGATCCCATCACTACTGTTAGTGAACAAGTCTTGTTTTTAACATGAGCCCAAGGCATGCAGGTTACAATTTCTGATAAGACTTTCCTTATTAAATATTTTTACAACAATAACTATTTCTCCTTGAAATAGATGATTATTTTTCTGAGAAATACAGATTTGATTTGATTTATATGTTTATTTGAAAATTTATGTGCTGTTTCTCCAAATAAAGCATTGGAATCAACTATGAACAGAAATGCAATATAAGAAAGGGGTTGAATTAAAACCTTTAAGCACTGTGCTATAAAAAGTCTATAAAGAAGATTCCTTTTAACATTTTTTCTGTTTACCATGTAAAAAGGCAACCTTGAGTAAACGTGCTTTTCATTTCTTCCTGGAAAGCAGGAAAGAGAAATGCTGTCTAACTACCCTGGTCAGTCCTTCTATAGGCTTTGGCTAAAATAAAAGCACTGGGTCTTTGCACAGCTGTCCTCCTACCCTTTGATTAAGTAATTGTTAGCAGGGCCTGGCCAAATGTTTATACCATTGGTAGGGAGCAACCATACATACAGTGAGATGTGCTGTCCCAATATATGCAGCTCCTAATAAATGTATATTCTATATATTAAATTTCAGCTCTCAGAGGATCATGTGCTGTGTCGCTCAACAATCAGCTGAAAAAATCGACCGATTTCGAGCCCATGCAGGATCTGTGTTCCTTACGCTTCTATATTTTGACAACCCTCCTGTCCCGCACATACCCCACCGAGAAGACTTAGAGAGGATATTTCCAAGGTATCCCATGTCTAGTGGTCTCAGATAGGGTTGTCCATAAACATGGCAGTCCTTCTCATCTGACCTTTATGTATTTTACAAATAAATTTAAAGAAAATAATTTCATTCTGACTTGGTAGGATTGTGCTTTTACAATTCATAGAGGTGTGTTTTTCAGAAGTAAAGGGGAGTTTGAAAGGCTTTTAAATTTTGTGCTCCTGAATCCACAGATTATTTAAAAGGTTGAAGTATTAGATTTGTTAGATTTTTCATCTTTGATGGTTTCTTTAGTTCCGTAATCTTCAAACAGGGTATAAGTATCAGTGGTTTCAAAGGAAATTAAAATGTGTGGCACTTGTTTACTGGCATACTAAAAATAGACAAACTACTTTCTGTGAGTGTGATTAGCATCAGAGAGACTATGATGGATGCATTTAAAATTTTCCATATCTGTTTCACTGCTCCAAATTGCTCCATGGCAGATGTCCCACAAGCTGGGGCAGGGGAGGAAAAATTTAAAATGTACATTTGTGTGTGATGCAGAAGTCTCTATGGGGACAATTCTGTTGTCTCCTGACATAATTCTACAGCTCCAATGTCCTGCAGCCTTGCTGCTGGAACTCCAAAGGCTTAGACCCTGCTTTGCCCCCTCCCCCCGGCCACTGCAGCTGGCATAGGAAGAACCATGCCAGTTGGCTCTCCGAAGGTTGCATATTAGCTTTGGAGAGGAGGAGAAAGTTATTTATCTATTTAAAATTTCTTACATACCATCAAATTATTGTAAAATCTTGAGATGATTAACATAAAAATACAAAGATGCATTAAAACCATTATTACAGCAATAAAATAGTTAAAAACTCCTAAGTGTCAGTACTTGCTGCAACTAATTAAAATGCATTATTGATTAAAAAACTGGGGAACGTAAAGGTGTTATGGGCTTGCCTGGGGGAACAGGGACACTGGGACATCCAGATGGCACCCCAGCCTCTTTCCTCCCCCACCATGCTGCTTCATCTGCATGGCTGAAAGTACTTCATCTAGATGGCATTGAATGTGGAGGCTTCCATGTGTCAAGGATGGTGAGACCTGTAATGCTCTAAATTCAGAGGACTGGAGTCAGCTTAAGCAAAGCAGGAGAGGCGCAGAGGTGAGGGTCCTGTCCATGCTTCTGCTCTGCAATGCACCCAGACAGCCAATTTTCACCTTTTGACTGCGGTTTTTCAGAGTAGGAGGGAAGGCAGCTTAGGTACTACCTGGGAATATCTTATCCTGGCACTGCCAACCTCTTTCCTAGAACCCCCTTTTCCAAGTTCTTCACACTTGCAACCTTGGAGGAACAGTTGGTGTTCTTTCTGAACTGGGTGCAAGCTGCGGGGAGGGGGAACCCATGTATGGTTCATCCGATCCAAGGTCAGAGGCTTTTTCTAAAGTAGAATCTGGGAATCTGAAAAATCTTATAGCTGTCTCAGTGCTGTCTAGGGGTCATAGCATTGTTCTGCAACTGATATAAGAAAGTCTTACTCCATAGCTATGACATAAGCTGGCATCTTGAGCATGATTTCATCCTGCAACTTTTAATGCACTGACTTATGTGCAGTATGGTTAAAGTAATGTTATAGGATATTAAAATAGTATTTGCATATATGTTTTCCTGTTGTATGGAAAATTCAGAGCATTTCTGAGTGCTGCTATCTATTTTACCTTTGATCTCAATAGCTATCTAGTTGTCAAAGCTTAGCAAGCGTTTTGGTGCAAGAAACAATGGTATGGGAGGTAACTAAGCATATGCTATCTACTTTCTATTGTCCTTGCTTCAGAAGGACCATTTTCTCCTGTTGTTCACAGGTCGGAGGCCGTAACTTTCAACTGGAATGCACCCTCACAAGCCTTTCCCAGAATCACACAGCTTTTGGGTTTAGCATCATATTGCTATCATGTTCTAACAGGTCTGACTGTGTCTGTTGGTGGATTGACAGAATCAACAGTAAGTGAATAAAAAGTAATTTGTTTGATAGGAAGAGTTCGTTACTAGTTTTAAATACCATATGAATATCTAAGAACCATGCTATCAGCTCAAGTTGGCTGCCAGTTTCAGGAAGCAAGTTGGCAGTGTTTAGGAGTACAAAGTCTTTGATATAGGGATTTGACTATGTTGGAGGATAGGGTTTTGTATGTAGCCAGTTACTGTTAGTGTAGCTGAAGCTTGAGTAAAGAACCTGTGTGGCATAGCAGTTCCAGTGTTGGACTGGGAATTGCAAGTTTTAGGTACTAGTTCCAATTCAGCCATACATTTCAATGTGCATGATTCTGGGCCCAATCATTAACTTTTTTCCTAACCTCATTCACAGGGGTGCAGAGGAGGATCAAGTACATTATATTGGGTTTCTTAACAGAAATGCAGGATATAAAAGTAATGAATGAATGAATAAATACATTTGCATCACTTACAATCTCCATAAAGCGGTCTTTAGCACTTCACTGCATGCTTCCTTTGTTTCACCCTAAGGTGCTGCCATGCAGCTCTTTCTCACATTGCTCTGGTAATGTGAGAAACACAAGCCACATGAGAAGAGCTCATGGTGCACCTGTTCCCCAGACCTGCATCATCATTCTTGGAAACTGGGGCCAGGCTGGCAGGGGGAGCTCTGCGAAAGGTAATTGCAAACAGTGAGAGGAGTGGGTCTATATGCCTTCCCTCCTTTGTAAGTGCCTTTAGGCTTATGCCCTGTTGCAAGCTAAAGCTAAAGTGGAAAGTAGGAGAGCTACATGGAGATCACTTGCATTTGGCAGTTTGGAGGATATTTCTGGTTATGTTGAGAATAATTATAAGCTTTGAAGCTAATTTGGTGTGTAGTGTAGTTAAGTAACAAAATATTTTAACAGCACATTTAGTATAGCACTGTTTTTCAGCCACCAGTCCACGGACTGTCACCAGTCCGCCGGTGTTTCCTGGTGGTCTGTGAAAGAGCTGCTGCCATGCGCACACATGAAAGCGGCATCTCGCTCGCCAGGACTAGTGTGGGGCTAGCTGTGCTCTCGCTGCCAGTTCCCCGCCTCTTCCTTGGCTGAGGAGAGGAGAGGCAGCTCGATAGAAGCCCAGCTGATACCTGTGGACCTGAGACCAGGCCTTTTCGTTTTTCTGTTGTGTTTTCTACCGGGAAGGAAATGCAGAGGTGGGATTGTGCTGAGAGTGTTTTCTCAGCCAGTCTGTGCTGATGTGTATGGGTTTGGGGGGGGAGGGGCATTGTATTTCATTATTTAACATTATGAGTATTATTGTATTAAGGATTTGTGTTTGATTTTGTATTGCTCTGTTGTTGATACTATATTTTAATTTGTATTTGCTATGAGTATAGTATTGCATTTATATTGATTTTGTATTTTGCTACTGTAAATTTTTAATCAAGTATTCTTGGAAAGAAGCGACAGCAGATTTTGCAGTAGCCTTATTTGAATTACAGTTTGCTTTTTAAAAATGTCAGTTGTATTCAATTACATTTAATTTCAATATTTATTTTTATTAGCATTTTTACTGCTCGGTTTCTGATTATTTTAGAAAATTTTCATTTTTGGTACTATATTTAAAAATGAATACACAAAATACTATATTATGTATATAATGTGTTTTATTTCTACCTCAGCAGTCCCTGAAATAATTTTCCTAGTTTTGCTGGTCCCCAGCTGTAAAAAGGTTAAAAACCACTTGTCTACAGTATGCATCTGTCACTGCAGCATTTCTTATAATTTGCTGCTTGTGGTTGTATCTGAAACAGAAACCAGCTTTAGGCATTTTTGCTCTTCTGTACCTTACTTCCAACAGTCACAATAAAATGAATTAAGTATGATGGGTTGGTTGCCTTTACAATACAGTCCTGTAGGTCTTTATTGAGGTACAAGTTGCACCTGCAGGAATTGATGTTCTTGCAAGCTAATCAGAATCCTTTGGTCATTAGTTATTTAGTGTCTGTGATGTCTAATTGCCATTTCTCTGTTCCATTCGTTAATGACTCCTGATGGTGCTACAACTCTGCACGATGCATAGCCTTTATATTTTGATGAGTGGACAGCACAACACCATTATATTTGGCCATCAGTGTCTTTTCAGGCTGTTAAAGTCTGGGCCTTTGCATTCCATGTTCCCCTGTCATAAATGTCCATTTATCATACTGCAACTTGGTGTTGAAGTTGAGCAGTATGTGTGGGGAATCCCCGCTCTTATCACCATAAAGGTAAAGGTAAAGGTTTCCCCTTGACATTAAGTCCAGTCATGCCTGACTCTAGGGGGCGGTGCTCATCTCTGTTTCCTAGCCGAGGGAGCCAGCGTTTGTCCGCAGACAGTCTCCGTGGTCAAGTGGCCAGCATGACTAAACACCGAAGTGCACGGAACGCTGTTACCTGCCCACCGAAGTGGTACTTTTTTAAGCTACTTGCATTTGCATGCTTTTGAACTGCAAGGTTGGCAGGAGCTGGGATGGAGCAACAGGAACTCACCCCATTGTGCAGATTCGAACCGGTGACCTTTTGATCAACCAGCACAGCGGTTTAAACCACTGCGCCACGTGCAGTCCCTCCTTATCACCATAGGTTCCAGTTAATCATTGCAACTTTCTAGAATTCCTTAGAATATTTCTGAATACTTTAGCTGGGCTGTAGTCTAATAATTTGCAGATTGTGGCCCATGAGAAAAAGAGCTAGTATCCTTGCCCATATTTGATACAATCTTTGATACATGCAAAGCTTTGGATTGTGCAGTTGCACTGACTGGGTTCAGGTAAAATTATAGCTCATGCAAAGGCTGAAAGCAGGTTGTCACTGATCCATGGGTTATTGTGCTGTCTGAACCAGGGAGAGAAAAAAGACCATAGTGATCAACTTGCACTTAACAACCCAACAACAGTCCATGGGTTCTCTTCATGTGCTGTTTGTAGTTAACAAGGCATGGCTTATGAGGTGAGTTTGGTTCAGGTAGCATGGTAGGTCACATTTCAACAACTGCCCAAAATTCAGTGACAATCCATATGCAGCCCATTCTCAACCCTTGAATGAAGGTTAGGGTTAGGGTTAGCATTAGCGTTAGTACAATAATAGATACTCAGTTGTTGTGTTGTCTGACTCCAGATGCTGTCTTGAGTTGCTGCAGTGGTGCAGTCATGCAAGTATAAGAATACTTGTACAAATAATGCTGACTTTTGCATGGCACTTCTATTTCCGTATATATGAAAACTAGATGTCAAACTTAGAGAGTTTCCTAATGACTTGCAGATAAAACGTAAAGGTCTTAAATACACTACTGTCTCCTACCCAATTCTCTCTAGACAGAAAAATAGCCTTGCATTGCTTGAAGAAGTCAGAGACTCTTTCCCAGTAATTTCCTAATGAATTTTGCAGAATTTGTTACAATTAGTTTTGAAAAGTATAAATATTTTGATTGCTTCAGCTCCTTTGCTTATCATTGGCTTAAAAGGAGAGTCTTCTGTTCCCTTAGCTCTTAAAGTATTACTTAAATCATTTAGTTGAGTTGTAGTCTGGTAATTTCCTAACTGTGTGCCATGGCAGAAGTGCTAGTTTGCCTGAAATTGTGAATTTATTAAATAAATAAAGTGCTTTGTTGAGATACCCATGCTCATTTTAGGCCGTTTGCGGAGTGTCTGAATGATTGTCTGCTTTGGCTTTGCCTTCCTTCAGCCTGTCTTTAATGGGATCAGGTGATTCTGCACTATCTTTGCACTGATTGGATCATTCAGTTTCCTGTTTCTGCAGAGAAAGAGTTTCTTCATGTAAGAATTAATTAATTTCTGGAATTATTGGATTTGGTGATAGCCCTTAGCTTAGAAGGTTTTAAAGCAGGATTAGGCAAAGTCATGGCAAATTATTATGACTATTAGTCATGATAGCTGTATGGAGTGTGTGTGCATGTGTGTGTGAGTTCAGAGGCACAAGGGGGTCAAAACATGGGGAGTATTATTGCTTTCTTGCAGTGTTTGTTGCATCCCCAGGAGCATGTGAGTTGCCACTCTGGGAAATAAGATGGTGGTCTGACCTAGCAGAGCTGTTCTGATATCACTGAGCACAGTTAACTGCCTTTCCAGGAGGTGTGCCCAGAGCAGTTACTCATATCTTAAGTCATGCATACTCACAGGGGGCAAGTTTGCATGTAGTGCCGACACATCCATACAAGCTATACAGTATGCCCAGGAGATGGTTGGGTTTGCTGGGATTTGTTCTCCCTACTCCTTCCCTCACAGTTCTCCAACTGGCTCTGGCATATATCCCGGAAGACTTTGCCGCAGAACCTGTTTTATTTTCTTGCGTCAACCCCCTCCCTGGCTTTTCATTTTACTTTTGGTGTCTCAAAGTATGTGATAAGAGTCATAATTTTTCAGTGGTGCAATATTAATAGAAGTATAACCCTGCTGGTGCTGGTGTTCCTTTGCTTTGAATGGTTTGACCACTCAATAAGGTCGTTCCCCCCACACCAGACTCATAGAATATTTGCACATTCTGTGGGGAAATAAATGGAAGTAAAATGTATATAAATTTATTAGCTGGGAGATAAATGGAGGGGAAATTTGTGCATTGGTTAATTCAGGTGTGTAAATTTTCCCTCTATTTACTTCCTGGCTTTTTAATTAATGCATTTTTCCCAGTCTAAAACAATGCAGAACTATTTCTGGTATTTTTTAAAGCCTTTAAAGATAGCAGAAATTGACTGGGACCGGCAGGTGTTCACATATAATGCTGGTCCTCTGTCATCTGCACTGACTACCAATTGATGTCAGGGCCCAATTTAAGGTGCTGGTGATGACCTATAAAGCCCTAAATGGCTTGGATCCTGGCTACCTGAAGGAGCACTTTCTCCCCTATGTACCCTGCCGCCCCTTGAGATCTGAGTTAAAGGCCCTCCGCCAGGAGCCGTCCTTGAAAGAGATCAAGAGGGTGACTACCTGGAGGAGGGCCCTTTCTGTGGTGGCACCCCGATTGTGGAACACACTCCCCAGAGAGGTCTGCCTGGCGCCAACACTTATTTCCTTTTGGTGTCAGGCAAAAACCTTTTTATTCTCCCAGTATTTTAATTGTTAACTTGTTTTATTTAGTGAGTTTATATTTTAACAATGGATGCAGGGCAACTGTTATTCTTATTTCTATTTTAGTATTAATTGGCTGTAAACCATCCCAAGACATCTAAGTATGGGATGGTATAGAAAAGTTTTAAACAAACAAACAAATAAATATGATGTTTGCATATGGCAAATGGATCATGAGTTGGCATTGTGGAACAGTGGCACACCATGGGCTGAATTTCTTGCTTATTTATTTCTAGATTTAAAGTATCACATTATCCAGTTACATTACCTGTTTAATTGAAGGAAATAGCAGTGACATGTTATTTAGTTGTATTAATCCTTAACTTCCAAGTTAAGTCAAAACAGCCTGCCATGTTGGAGAGAAGATGCGGTACAGATTCCTTATTGCCACCTTGTTATCCCTGCAGTTCAGCAAATTTAGAGACTCAAATGAATGCTTTATTACATTGCAGCTTCTGCTGGGATATTAGGAAATACCTGCATCTTTATTATGTAAGTTTCATGGTAGAGACAATCTTATTACAATATAATAACAACAACAATATATCTTATTGTTTAGACAGTACCATATTCTGTAGTTATTGGGAAAGCTGCTGAGCTTTGAGAGGTCAGTTACCCTATTTTTGATTTGCCCTGCATGAGTGATATATCTCTCTGTATGTATTTTGATATGCTATATGTTTTTGTAAATACATGTTGGATATCTTTCTTTCCCTGTCTGATCATAGACCTCATTAAACAGATTTGATTTAAGATCTGAAGTCGAAACATTTGTTTTCTTGTCCACCTCTGCATAGAATTTCTGTTGTTTTTGAAAAATAGTGGAAGTAAGAATGATTTTTGAGGTTTTAGACATGTATTAAAGACTGAACTGTCACATTTTAAATTATGTGAATGTAAGTGTTTCTCCAAAGCAAGACAGCTTTTGTGATTGTGAATCTTCCACATTTGCAGGTGCGATACTCATCACAGAGCCTGTTTGACTATTTGAAGACTGTTCAGAATGACATGGATGCAATGAGCAGCTTTAGTGAGACACTGCTGCAGGTCTTTGAGGACAACTTGTTGAACGACAGGTAATTTGTCTCTATCTGTAGGGGCTTCTTAGACACATTCGTAGAAGCTTACTTTATTTCCTAGTAAGTCATTAAAACCACTAGAAGCGCATTTTCTTATTATAAGTAGGATGGGTTAAATTTCATAGCTATCTGTGGTTCTTATTTGTGGTCTCTCTGCATTTCATGCATGGGGCCCTGTACCTGTGTGGAAACCTAATTCAGGAAGCTTCTATAGCTGAGGAACTTTTGATGGGAAGCTAGATTTCTTTAGTCTTGGAAGAGGAAATTAGGTATTCCTCTTCAAGCTTCAGATGACAGACAGTATACCGTGAGCTCTCTAACTTTGCTGTAATACCACAAATGCTCTTCTGGGTGTTTCTGATACCAGCAAATCAAGACCATGAATGATAACATTCTCCGTTCTTATATTGAGGTGGATATTTTAATCTTCTGGCATCCAGGCATAACTGGCATCCAAGTCAAGGTCATGTTTCCCATGTGGACTGGACTGAGATGAGTATAGGAGCCCACTGGACATAAGAGAGGGGACCCTGCCTCCAAACAATATAAATGATTCCCCCATTCTACTTAATCCTGCCTGCCAACCTACCTTTTGATCTATACTATCATCTTTCCTCCAGGTGTAGGTGCAAAAGATTCCTGGGTTCTTTCTGTAATTCAGCAAAGCTACTGGATTGAATTGGCTTCTCTCCCTCTTTGGCTATTTCTTTGACAGCTCTGTCTGTCCTACAAGCAGAAATTGACTCCTTGTTTCCAAACGGTGCCACTTGCTGTATTTCTATGCCCCATCACTGCAGTACTTTCTGTTCTTGCTATTTCACAGCCCTGATGAAAAATGGAGGTCTTTAACCAATTCTGAACTTACAAGAAATCAACATGTTTATTACAACAAAAATGAGTACTTCATTAGCCACCTTGCCTCTTTTATATACAGAGCTATGGTTCTTGCTTCAGTCCTGCCTTGATTGATCTTCGCGTCTTGGTTAACAGCTTGCCATTGACATCTGTCAGATGAGAAATGACGCAACCGATCACCCTGTGTGCTGCCTTGTTTCTCAGTGTCTGTGGGTGGTGCCGCCCATACTTTGACAGGAGACACTATCCAGAGCATTAATGGGAGAAGGCTGCACATTTGAGATAGTTGGAGTTTGTTGTGGAACTCTGGATTGCCAAACAATAGTAAGAGACAAGGAAAAAAAGTATGCAGATCTCAGCTGTAATTAAAAAAATGTTTGGCACAGCAGTGACAGCCTCCCATTGTGCTGCTTTGGCATTTTGAAGGAACTGCCACTACCTGGATAAGAACGGGGATAGGAAAGAAAGGCATGTGATGCGTGGGAGGCGCAGCGGTAGCTTTATTAGCAGCAGAGTACTCTGAAGAAGGGCAGGGGGAAAGGAGGACTTACAAAGTAGAGTAAGATGCATGGGGAGGCATGCCATTGTAGATGAGGCATGTTAAAGGCTACACGATTTGTATGAAAGAGGGATGGACAGTCATCAGCCCTTCCCTCAGGTAGGCTGGGTCTCCTAAGTCTAGAAACAGACTTGGAGTCATCCCAAGCTGTGCACCCTGATATGAGCGGTCTCAGAATGCTTGGGCTAGGATCTTGCCAGGATTAATGTTTTAAATGTTTTAATAAATAAATAAATAATAAATTAATAACATTTTATGATAATTTTTGTAGGCAATCAAAAATCAGAGTTAGAAACAAATTTCTGAACAGATGGATTTTTCCATTCTGTAGTAAAATAACTGATGAAAGGAACGAGTTTCATTTTACAGTATTTTTTTTCAACCAGTTTTTTAAAAATCAGTTACTACTAAGTTAAGAAATCAACTGCCCTCTGCCCTCTAGAACATGCATTCACAGAGCATGCCTGTACAAGACAGTCTAGAAACTAAAACTTGTATTTTTAGAAGAGATGTGTGCCTGATTATGTGACGTGCTGTCTCAAGAAATACAAATCTCAGATCTTCTTATTTCCTGCTGGCTTTTCCTGGATACAGACAAGTGAATGCAACAGGGTATGGCAACCAGCTGACAGTAGAGAGGAGGGCCAGGTTCACAGTAGTCAGATGTACTGAGATTCCAGAGACCATCAGAGCCATTAGGTAGGATTTGTAAATCCTACCAGTAGCAGGACACAGGGGAATAAATGCATTAGGCCTCTGGTATTAAAGTGTGTAGAACAGAGGTGGGAAACTAGTTGCTAACCAGATGTTTTGGCCTACTATTCTCATCATCCCTCAGCATTGGCTATATTGCATAAGGTTGATGGGCATTGCAGACCAAAACATCTGGAGCACCACAAATTACACATCCCTTGCATAGAAGCAGGGAAAAGACCCCGAATACATAGAGTGGTATTTCAAAGCAGATTTTCGTTGATATATAAGGAACACATGCAATGAAGCAGCAGTGTCTCACTATAAATACAAATTATACCACCAGAAACACAAGGAGCTTTGAAGATGGCTAACCCTACCCCAACAAGACAGTCCTCCCAAATTTTAAAACAGATGATGGAAGGGAGGAAGAGGATTGTATTAAAACTCATTGTGAACAGAATTATTTTATCCTCATGTTCATTTAGGGCAACTACCAGAAAATGGCCACAGATGTAGATATGCCTACAACATGGCATACCTATAAATTTATCACAAGAGTTGGCAGCTAGATATTCAAGATCATTCCTTTGGGATACTGTAATGTGTGTAAGGCCTGTCTGAGCATTTATTTATGTGTCTGCCCCAACTAGTACAGATTTCCACACTCCTGATTTAGAGTGTCTTTCTACTTGCCCAGTTTTCACTTGAAATAACACAACATTGTCTCTGCATTTACCAAAATCACACCCAAACAGGGTTGGAATGGGGGGGGGGGGGGCACTTGCAGGGGTGTTTTGACCTGATCGTGATGCCTTCTTTTAAGTCTGAAATAGAACTTAACCTCGGATAAGTGTTGATTTCTTAGAAGAAATTTTGCTGATAAACAACTTACTGTAAAATGAAGCTGGTTTTATCACCACTAATTTATTGCTGATTGAACAAATCTCTACTGCCACTTTATTCCTACTGAATGTGTGGAGTATGGAGTTCTGGGGTCATCCTGATATTGGTCAGCCATTCAATTAGTTTTAGTCATTTGTCACCTAATAGTACAGCCATCTGGGAAAGGATTTCCTTTTTCATCAGATAGTAGAATGTCGCAGTATGAGCGGTGTCAGACTCAGTACTCTGTTGTCTCATGGTCTTTCCTCACCAGGGTATCTGTACCACTACTAAAGATGCTGGACCAGCTACTAGCAAATGGATGCTTTGATATCTTTACAACTGAAGAGAAGTAAGTGGTTATTAACAGATGCTAAAGTGTTTTCCTACCCTGACTGCTAGAAAACTGTCAAAGAGCAAGTTGCATTCTCTGTAATATATAATGTTGGGAAGGTAGAATATTAGAAATCAAATCAAAGTTTCTGTATCTTGGCAGGGTTCAATGGAAAAAGTATTTTGTTTTGGAAAGGCTCATTATCAGTACTGAGAGTTGAACTGTGAGACCCATCTGCAACCCACACAGTAATCAAAACTTTTTTTAAAAAGCTCCTGCCTCAGTAGGTGGTACCTCTTGCACTGTACATTTGGCAGCATTATTGGTTTTGGTTTTTTTATTCCCCAGTGATGACACAGTTCCAGAGAGTCTATTATCAGGACATGGAAGACTTAAATGGGAAATTTGGCCGGCCTGCAAGGTCCCATGTCCCTCCGAGTCCTGCCCCTCAAAGCACATGGGAGAAAACCCCTCCTTTTGTTCATTGAAGAGAATTAAAAATCCTTAAGGATTTATCCAAAAGGGAGAGGAAATTAAGATTGTAGGCATCTTTGCGTGAGGAACATCTTGATCACTGGAAGCATCTTTTCCTACTATTGCAATTTCCTCTTCCTTCCCCAGACCCAGAAACATCACTCAATAATTCTTGGGAGTGTTGATAAATGCTCAGAAATAGTGCTAAAACATATGTTTGAACAAAGGTAAATAATTAAAATAGCAGGGGTTGTTGGAATTGCAGACTGAAGATCAAAACAAAATGGTAGAACTTGAGCCTTTATATCCAGTTATGGAACCCCAAAGGGCATAAAGAACCAAAAGCTTCCCATGGTATGGTGGCTGCAGGTGCAGCCATCAAATAGCAGCCATCCCATTGTGGGATAAGTCTGTGCCATGGAGACTCCATATTTAAGAAATCGTGGCTAACATTTGTGGTAGATCAGGTGGTCCCTTCATCCCTCCAGTTCTCTCCATGGCATCCAGTTCACTGTCTGCCAGTGACTGCTCTGAGACATTGTGAAGGGCAGGATATAAAAACTTTAAATAAATAAATAGACCCATTTTTAAGGTTTTCCAAGTTTCAAGGCAAGGTTAGATTAGCATAACTGTGCAAAATAAGTGGAGTGTCCATGGGGTGGGCTGGATTGTTAACAAATCTGTTTTTAATGCCAACTTTTAAAGTTTTGGATGCAGAAGTCATAAAAAATCTGCCCAGTACAGTTGCCATAAGTAGAAAAGTCTAACAGCCGCCTCCTTTGAGGACAGCCTCCTTAAAAGAATAATTTCTGTGATCCATTCACACAGTGTCTCAGTAAAACTGCCCAGTGGATTTCCCAGTTGTACTGAAGCTTATAAGTCATATCCAGTTCCAGATACTAAAATGCTGCTTAAAATTGGACAGCAATTGCTTAAAAATGCTGCTGTCCTTTGAGATACCAAATGAAAAAGCAGAAGAACGGTCAAACTATTCTGCCCAGCTTTAGTATTGTATGTAGCATTTATACACTAGGTATAGTTTATACATATGCAACAGTTTGCTGAAGGTGCAGTAATATGTCATCAGATGCAGTCTGTCACTATATACTTCAGGCAACAAGCTCGTGACTCTTTGACTTTGCCCACAAATCAGTGATTTCCTTAACAGTGGTAATTTCTTTCCTCTGTGGACTGTCAGCTAGGGGAGCACTCTGTGTCTTGCTGTTGATTTAAGGACCACCCTGAGTGGTGTTGGGATTGATCTGGTTAAGATGCAGCTCACCTTTTTGAAAAACTCAGTTTTCAGAAACACGTGTCCCTAATTTGCATAAAACAGAATCTTTAGACAGATCCTTTTTCCCTAGATGCTGATCTTGTTTCTGCTGGAGTGCTGCCCGTACAGGAGAAGGAATTTTCTCAATTTCCTTTGGAGATGCTGTGCTATTTGAGATCACCCATAGGTTAGAGTTAGTTATTACAAGTGTGGAATGGGCAGATGACAGAAAGTAAAGCAGGTCTATTTCAAATGCAGAATCCTCCATATAACACAACACGCACTAAATTTTTTCCAGATGTTCAACTGCAGTTGCCCTCTTCACTGAATGCCTGCATTGTCATTTCCTTTGGAAATCACACCTCATTCCCTATATTGCCATTGTCCTCTGCTGAAAAGCAACAAGCACTCCTGTTAGCTAAATTAATCTCCAATAAATTCCATCCAGTCTATGAGCAGCCTTGCGTAATTGTGAAGAAAGTTAACCAGACTAAAAGCAAATAATGCAGAGAACATTCACAACAATACATATAGAATGCATTTCCTTAGGGATAGTTTGCACGCATCCAACTTTACGCAGTCTTTGCTTACACATGGAGATTTCAGGCAACCTTCACAGAATATGCATGCAAACTAACACTTGTGTCATTGGACCAGCTTTTGTTGGGAAAGGCTAAGCAAGCTCTCAAGCTATTTATTTATTTCATTTCTATACTGCCCAACTGGGCAGTTCGCAGCAGCATATTTTAAGACAGTGTCAAACATACCAGTTAACACATATTAAAACATAAATTATATGTGAAAAAGACTGTGGTAAACCCTGTCTAACAACCATAGACCCTAGTAACTAACCAAATGCGCTGCAGTAGAGGACATTCTTTACTTGGCACCAAAACGATACTAAAGTTGGCACTAGGCAGGCCTCAGTGGGGAGCTTGTTCCATGATGTGGGGCGGGGGGCTGCCACTGAAAAAGCCCTTTCCCTTGTGCCAGTATCCAAGCCTCCCTTGGAGGTGGCAATCAGAAAAAGGCTCCAGAATTTGATCTTAGGGATTGGGTAGATAGAGGTTGGGAGAGGTGTCCCATCAGGTATCATGCTCCCAAGCCATGCTATAGGTCAAATCCAGCACCTTGAATTGGGCTCGGAAGCATTCAAGCTACAGCACAAGCTACAGCTTTCTATTAGTCTTCAAGGGCAGCCCCATGTGGAGTGCATTGCAGTAATCTTGCTTATATCACTGATAGCAGACTATCTCTGTCCAGATAGGGACCTAGCTGAGCTACCAGCTGAAGCTGGTAGAAGGCACTCTGGATCTTTGAAGCCATCTGGGCCTCAAGTGCCAAAGATGGCTCAAGGAGTACTCCCAAGCTATGAAACTGCTTCTTCAAGGGAAGTGGAGCCCCATCTAGAACTGGTTGGATTCCCTCCATCTGGTCAGAGGAAGCACCCACCAACAGCATCTCAGTCTTGTCAGGATTGAGCTTCAGTTTGTTAGCCTTCATCCAGTCCATTGTTGCAGCCTGGCGCTGGTTCAGCACATCCACAGCCTCACCTGCTGAAGATGAAAAGGAGAAATAGAGTTGCGTGTCATTAGCATATTGATGACAACACACTCCAAAACTCCGGATAACCTCACCCAGTGGCTGCATGTAGATGTTAAATAACATGGGGGAGCCTCATACTAGAGAATCGAAGGGACAGAGCAGTACCCCCTGGGCACCACCTTCTGGAGTTTATCATCCAATTAGGAGTACAGCCACTGCAATGCAATGCCTCTCACCCCCAGCTCATTCACCCCAGAAAGATACTACGGTCAATGGTATCAAAAGCTGCTGTGAGATCCAGGAGAAGCTACAGGGTCACGTTCCCCCCGTCTCTCCCCCAGCATAGTTCATCATACAGGGCAACCAAAGCTGTTTCCATGGCAAAACCAGGCCTGAAGCCTGACTGAAAATGGATCCAGATAATCAGTCGCAGCCAAGAGTGCCTGGAGATGGTTGGCCACCATCCACTCAGGAACTTTGCCCAGGAATGGGAGGCTTGCCACCAGCCTAAAATTGTCGAGTTCTTCTGGATTCAGGGAAGGTTTGTTAAGGAGTGGTCTTACCGCTGCTTGTTTCAGGTGGTCAGGGACCACTCATTCTTGTAAAGAAGCACTAATCCCCTCCCTGGCCAAGCCAGCAGTTCCCTCTCTACTGACTTTTATTAGCTTAGAGAGGCAGGGATCCAGTACGGATCTAGTTGGATGAACCCATTCAAGCACCTTGTTGACTTCATCAAGCTATACTAGCTAGAACTTATCTAAAACAACTAGACCAAACTGTGCCCTGGATATCTCGCTTGATACCACTGCTGTAACACTGGGGCCCAAGTCCTGGAGAATAGAAGAGATTTTGTCATGGAAGTACTTAACAAATATATTACTGTAGGCCTCAGACAGCTGCACTGTGTCCAGGGGCCAGCATTTAATGGGGTCCAAACAATCCTGGAGAGCGTTAGCGGAAGATCGAATGGAGAATTGACTGGAAAACTGAAGAGAGGCAGCCAGATATTGCCACTCTCACTGCTTCCAAATATATATTCGACAGTAAGCCCCTACCAAGACATAATTGTATTCACCAGGAGTTTTCCCCATCTTCACTCAAGCCGCCCCCTCATTCATTTCATTCCTCTCAGCGTTCAGGGGCAACTGTGTCAAGTGCCTGGGACATCTCTGTGTTACAACGAGGGATGCAACAGGACCATCAGCCATATCAGCTGGAAAACTCCCCAGAGCCCTCTGAAAAGCATCTGGATGCATCAGCTTCCGGGGCAGACCATCTTGATGGTCCCGCACCCCCGCAGAGGGGGAAATTCACCATTATTAGTAGTGATCTGACCATGACAAGGGGACCAGTTTAAATTCTCCCACCATCATATCACCATCCCCCTGCCTGGCTTAGAAAACCAAATCCAGAGTGTGCCACATGCATTGGGTCAATAACATGTTGGGACAGCCCCATGGTTGTCAACCATGGAGTCCTGAGCTGCCCCAGGAAGTATACCCTCAGGTGGATGTTGACATCCCCCGGGACCCAACCTGGGGAACCTCAGTATTGCAGCCAAGACAACCCCTGCCAGCTCGGGTAGGGAGACTTTTGGGTCATGGGGTGGATGATGCACCAACAGAATCCCCAGTCTGTTCCGTTTGCCCAACACAAGATACAAGCACTCTAGACTAAGAGTCAGACAGAGAGGAAGCCTGGAGACCCAGCAAGCAACTGTGTGCTGTTTCCATGCCATGCAGACTTTCACCCAGAATTACCAGTCAGACAATCACACGGTTACCCAGGCGGCACGGTTTCCATGCTCCCTGTTTTCCTCACCTCCCCATGCATCCCTTTAGCCCCTGGGAGTGTCCTTTCTTAATCTTTGTGTACAGACCACAGCAGTGTCCTCCTGACTGGTCTGCTGTGGTCCTGAGGCAGGTTTCCCCTTCCCTGTCGTGAATGTACCAACATGACTGCAGGTTTTCCTAGCTGCTCCATCCCTCTCAGAGAATTTTATTAATGAAAACAAACAGTTTTTCTGCAATTACCCATCTTCTCCATCTATTCTTGTGCTGAATTCCAGTGATAAAATAGCAGTCCCAGGTCCTGGGGCTGGATGAGTGGAGAAGCCACAGTGAAGCATGGGAACATTAGGATGACTGAATCTCTCTGTAGTTTTGGAAAACTAAACTTACTGTGCAGGAACTCCAAAACTGATTTGGATGACTCACGAGACTCAGAACAGTGAGATTTCACCATGGCTTCTTTGCTCATGCAATCCTGCCCTTAATTTATATACAAAACTTTAGCCTATAAAATAGAGGTTTATGCCAGACTGATCAGTGTCAGATTTCTGGGCTAAGGTAATAGTGCCCACAGCTACAGTTTGGTTTACTGTTCTCATCCTGTTACACAGCCAGGGTAGCAGCAGTGTGCCAGCCCTCTGCCATAGAAAGGGAGAAGAGTACATCTCCAAGAATAGCTACTATAGCCCTTGGCTAGTATGCAGAGTGTCCTTGGAGGCATCAAGGGTAATGTCGTTGTACTTTGCCAGCTTAGTGGTTACTTTTGTAATGCCCAGTGCACCTCACAACCCTCCAGACAATTCTTCATCTTAATAACAAATTGACGGTTTTCTCAAATGTTTTCAGCCACCCATTTCCTTTGAAGTTACTCACACTGTGTAAAGAAGAAAGCAAGAGATCTAAAGATGTTCAGAAACTCCGCTCCAGCATTGCAGTGTAAGTTGGGAGAAAATTATACTACAAAGGGGCATTAATAATTGGCAGGTTATAATTAATTGCATTAGTAAGAATAGTCACTGTGTGTGTGTAGTTTTGGGGAAAGAAACATGAAATATAAGAGAAACTACTTCCATAGTGTTGTAATCTGCACAGAGATTTCACTGTTTTGTAGAAAAACTGAAGTATTATGTGGAATTTGGAAGAGCCTTGTGTGAATATTGATTCTAAAGCAAGTATTGCTAAGGGAGGGAGTAAAGTGGGAGATGAACCACCACTCCAAAACCCTTGCTAGCTTGCACCTGCCAGCAGCTCCAGTGACTTTATCAGAAGTTTTTAAAAAATCCCCTCCCTTGGTTTCATTGGTAGAGGATTAACTGTGCCAGCTCTGTTCTTAGGGGGCCACACCTGGTGCCTCTGGGGCCAGCAGGTACAAGGCTGCCTTTGTTCTGGGCCTCCTGCTGATGGGGAATCTCTGCTCAGCCCTGCTAGCAGAGCGCTCCTCTGCACTGCAGGACTGGCACTTCCGTTCCATCCAGCTCACAAATCTATGACTTTGGACTATTTCGCCCAACATGCATGCTCTGCTGCTGCTGTTTTATAGAAAGAGTGATCAGCTTAAGGAAGTTGAGGGATCATTTGCACTCCAGGCCCTCCTCCCTGTGGACCGGTCTGTAGAGCAACCTGAGAAAAGAGGGACAAAAACATTTAAAGGGGAAAAATCTGTAGCTGCTACAGCTCACCAAAAGAGTCAAATATAGCTTACTTGCAAGTTAAATTTGACTAGAGAGCTGCATACACCATTTTCCCCCAAAATGTTTATATAAGATTTTTTTTTTAGTTGCTGCAAATTGGGCAGGTAGCAGCAGCCACACCAGTGGCTTGCCTGTTGCCCACTCCAACATACAGCCTCAGTTTTATGAAACCTTCGCACAGGCTGGATGTTGACATTCCAGGCCATCTCTCCATCAGCACAGGTTAAGCAGCTGAGATGCTCCAGTAATGGAAGTGCTGTGGTCTGTGCAGGATTTGTTTGGATTCCTAGAATGTTGCTACCAGTGGTTCACTTGTTTCAGCAAGAAGCTTTTCTAGAGCTTGTATGCTTTTTGCATGTAACAAATCAGAATCACTGCAGTAATCAGTCACTAGTAGGTTCAATTGTAGCGCTCAGCAGCTGTTCCTGGTTGTTCTTTCTTAAACATGTAAATGTTCCTTTAAAATGGTAAGTGCCTGTAATTAAGTTGTAAAGTTTCTTTTTTCACCTAAAACATTTTAAAATGTACAAATCTGCTATATTGCCTAAATTAATAAAATAGGGGATTTTTTCTCCTCCAAGTACCTTATTTTACATACAAGAAGGGAGACAGAATGGGCAAACTGGATAAGGAGCTTTGCATTTGCTTGTATGCATCCATTCACTTCTGCTTCGGAGTAAATTTGCTGGAAAGTAGCAATACTCTGTCTTGGCAGCATCACACAGTTTAGTAAACACAGATCTATGGTCTATGCATAAAAGCATAAAATCTGTGTCAAAAAAGAGCCCTTTCTCTTAATGTTTAAGCCATCATATTAGACACATCCCAACTTAACACAAGGTTAGGGTAAATTGATCTTCTGTACCCTTTTGACAGCTAAAAAGAACAAATGACACAACAGGTTGAGGGCTTCTGGAAGCTTTTGATTTTTTAATGCATGGTCGTTAGGAGTAATTCACAAATGAATAAACATATGGATAACTATGTCTCCTTTGTTAGAAGTCTACTCTTAACAATTTCTATGAATAGCTGTATATTTTTCCATATATTAAACAGATAGAGTTACAGGCTATATATGTATTCATCATAATAGAACCACTAGATTTCATGTAAGAAAACTTTTCTTTGTGGTTTTTTGTTCTGAGTTTTGAAACTCACAATAAAAATCAAATTAAAACATATTAGACACATCCCAGTCTAACTTTTTCATGTATACTTTCCTCAAATTGTACCATAGCATGGGTAGAAAGCAACAGAGTATTTCTCTGTGTTTCACATTATTTGTTGAATTCAATGATATTTACGTCTGTACTAGCATTATGAAAGTCACAGATGCATGATTTTTGTTTCATTTTTAGGTTTTGTGGCCTGATTCAATTTCCAGGTGACATGAGAAAGAAAGTTCTATTTCAGCTCTTCCTCCTCCTTTGCCATCCATTTCCTGTTGTAAGTATCAGAGATGCTAGCAGGGGCCTGAAGAACTCACAAATGGTTACTTTTTTCCATTGAAGACTGCCCTCATTATTTTACTATCCAGAACACAGGAAACCCTCCACCTTTAACGTGCACTCTTGGACATTTCTGGTCCATTAAACTGGTGTATTCCAGTTTCGTGACCCGTAGAGTAAAATAGTCCTCTATTTTATACATACACAGATTATGGAACCAAAGCAAGTGAATATGGATGTGAGTAACATATTCAGCTACTCCCGTCTCCTAGTGCTTGAGAAGCTTTGATTTTCTCAGCTCGATTATGCATAAGAGCCCTGTTAGATTAGACCAAAGTCCTGCCTAATTTAGCATTGTTTCCACAGTACCCAGCCAGGTGCCTGTAGGAAGCCTCCAAGCAGGGCACTAACTGGTTCCCCAGCACTAAGAGACATGCTACTCCTGAGAATGGGGAATTGTGCCATCATGATCTGCCTGATAGCCTTGTCCAGTATGAACTTTATCGGTGTTGAAGGGACTGGCCCTTGTCTTTTCCATTTCCAATGATTCGGGACATGGTATTTCTTTTTCACAGGTAGGGATGTTCTGAATCAGGGAAATGCAGCTATTTGAGCTTGTCAGATTTCTCACTTGCTTTCTAATGGATTGGAAGTAGGCCAAAAGACTTTGAGGACTTTGATCTGCAAGACAGACTGTGATTTGTGTGTACTTTTGAAAGCACAAATGGAATTTGTAAGCGGGTGGAGGCAGGGGAGGCCCATGTGAGGGGCAGGGTGGCTTGCCCCTTGTGGGGCCCTCAGGCAAGTCGCAGTGGGTGGGTGGACTTCGTTGGCCGCCTGGGCATTGGTGCGGGAGGAGAAATAGGTGGGGTGGAAAGGCAGTGAATGGGGTCCTAGTGCCAGCTGATCTGTCTGTCACACTATAATGCATCTTATTGGTTTGTAGTTGTGTGGTTTTTTCCCCTTATATTTTCTATTGTTAAACGGTCCCAAACTTTGGTAATGGGACAGTCAACAAAAGTTTTAAAATAAATAAGTTTATGGAAATTGGTGCTGGGAAATGCCCTGTGACTTGTGCAGTTTATGAGGCATGCCGTTCCAGGCACTGCTTTTGCATAAATGGCACCTGAAACATGTGGCTCAGCAAAATTTGTGAAAATCTTACTAAACCCAGGTACTGTTTAGTGCAAAGAGTTATTTTTGCCACAAACTAGGCTAGAAAAAGCGTGTGACTTGGCAAGATTTGTACAAATTGCACCAGACCCATTCATTGCAGTACCTGTTTTTCAAGCGTGCGCTCCTATAAATTCCTCTGGTGCTTTTTAAACAAATCTTGGTCCATCAGAACTCATGATGCAGCAAATTGGCACCAGAGTGCAGGCAGTGAACCAAAATCCAAGTAGGCAAACCAAGGAATTATGGATTTCTACCCCTGAACCAGATTCTTCACATCCCTATTATAACTTGGTATTTGCTTGTATTGAGCAGCCTTGTCATTTTAATGCACACTTTCCCAGTCTGGAGAGATCTTTTTGGAGCGCTTAACTTGGTATCCTGTTTATACGCCTGGCTACTGGCTAGCTTCCCTCAACTGCTGCTGCAGCACTTTAAAAAAACATGGGTGTGTTGCTCAACTACTGGGCGGTACCAGACTGGTGAGTGGAAATCTAGGTCAATTAAGCCCCAAGGTAATGTGGATTTTTATCTTGGGAGTACACAGTGGGTGGAGATTAAGCAAAGCTCCTCTGAGAATGCAGTGATCTGACTTAGTGTAAGCCTAGTTCAGTCTGGTTTTTTTCTAGGCTGCATTGGGTATTCTGGAGGTACTCAGCTGAATAAACACTCTACCCATGTATTTAGTTAGCCAAATGCATTATCAGTGTGTCTTTTAATTAAATGAAACTTATTTTTCTGTGTCCAGGTAAGGAAGACAACAGCCAGTCAAGTGTATGAGATGCTGATAACTTATAGTGATATTGCTGAACCAGATGTTATAGAGGAGGCCATGACACTCCTGAGTGATACTAATTGGTGAGTTAACCCACCCATACTTGCAGTCCTGTGTGGACCAACCCATACCATTTAACCCTATTGGAATGCAGATACTGGGTGGGTATGTTGGTTTACGCCATAGCCAAACTCCTCAAGATGGTTCCTTGTGCCTGACTGCTGGGTAGCACACCTCCCCCTCCCCCCTTAGTCCCTCCACTGGGATCTCCGGAGACATCATGGGAATGCTGGGGGGAGTGGGCACAACAGCTGTGGAAAGTGCTTGTGAGGAGTCCCACTTTCCCAGCACGAGCAGGACGTCAGAAGCAAGAACTACTTAATGTTTGGCTCGAGTCCAGTGCAAGACGCTTGCCACCACTCAGCTGCAGCACTTGGAGAGGGGCGCAGGAGTGGGATGCCTTCTTGGCCTCACCTGGGGAGACCACAGAGGATGGTCCTTCTGCCTGCCCCGATCGCTGTGCAGCCCCTGCTCAGGCGAGTGTCAGCTGCACACAGCAGAGAGATCCTGAGCCGCCTGCCTGGGTTTCCTCAAGTGTGCCCGGCTCCTGGGCCTCCACTTCCCACTTCTCTCTGCCGCGACACCCATGGGTGCCCCACTCAGAGCAGGATGGGAGGGCAGCTGGAGCTGTTGGGCACAGGACGAAGCCAGTTTCAGCCGTTGGACTGAAGCAGCATTCCTGCTGCTGGCTGGCGGTGTGGGGCTGGCATGGAAAGGGAACAAGCTTGCACTGGCTGGAGCACACTCCTCTCCCTCTCATCACCACTGCCACAATCCTTTAAAGGGACCCACTCTGTTAGCTTTACTGCTAGGGAATGAGGCTGGTTCTGATTTGGTGCGTCACCCAGGCCTGGGCAACATGCTGACACCCCTTAGGAAGCAAACATGCAAACCCAGTCAGTATGACGGTGTCATGCAAATAAAAACTGGAAGGGATTTGAAATGTAAACCTAGGCACAATCAGTGAACTAGAGGTGTTTAATTTTTTTGCAGATTTATACTCCACCTTTTGTTCCAAATAGTTTCTAAAGAAGGTTCCATTGGATTGTACAATTCAGTACTTATTTTCTGATTTCATTTGCTCAGAGGGACACTCAGATAACATGATGCTGAAGTCTATCCCTAGTATTCATGGCAAGAGCACCGCTGTCCTTGAGGACCTGCAGTGAAGTTAGAGCAGACACTCCTTCCCCTTGAAGAACTGTGGCTCCATCAGCCATGGGTAGGATTTTCCCTCCTAAATATCTTAGGATGACTTCGTGCTTGATATTATTTTTCCTTTCCAGTGTGGTGTAGTGCTTAAGAGTGCGGGGCTGGGACTCAGGAGATCTGGAATCTTGTCCCTGCTCAGCCATGGAGCCAACTGGGTGGTTTTGGGCCGGTCACAGACTCTTAGCCCAACTTACCTCACAGGGTTCTTGTTGTTGTGTGGATAAGATTGAGAGCCACAGGATGAGAATGATGTAAGCCACTTAGAGTTTGTTGTAAGTAAAAGTGGGGTATAAATATAATAAAATGTTCCTTTCCAAACAGGGATGCAGACTTGCCATTTCTAAGGAAACAACGTAACTATCTCTGTGACTTAATGAAAGTGCCGAAACCACAACTTGTTACCAAGGTAAAGCTCTTGAAAGACCCATTTAAGTCACCCTACATTTTGGGATGTGGGACTATGGTTTGAAAAGAGACTTGTGAATACTGCAAACATTGTGAGGTCCGAGGTGTAGTTTCAGAATTATGCTGCAAGCCCAGCTCTCTTCCACATGTACGAAAGTAGCACGCCAAGAAGCAAATGCTTTACAACCCTCTGCTACCCTTTCCTTGGAAAACCTTCCAAACTTCTGATGCTCAGCTACTCAGCTATGAGCATGAGTCTGACACAGGGCAGCAGGCTCTAAAAATATTGATTAGACTTTCCACCCAGAGATGTACTTGGCTTCTCTTATGTGCCAAGTTTCAGGGGGAAAGAAGCTTGTACTAGTTTCAAGGAAGTAATCATATCCAGGCAACTACAGTGATAGCTGTTACGTGGCAAATGGGACAGGAATGTGTTTCGCTGCTTTTCCTGCCATAAAGGCAGCTTGCGACAGGTGAACAGCAACACAACATGGCATTAGTGTTCTGTGCTTCAGCAACGCAGAAGGACATTGGTAGTAGGCATATAGGGTTGCTACTGAGTCTTGTCCTCCAAGGAAGAACCTGGTGAAGACCATTTAAGTACTATTTAATTTGCTGGAGTTTCTGTTTATTTGCCTGCCCGTCCTATTTCATCCCCTGCTAAGTAGTGATAGGATAGCAACTATGAAGAGAATCTCATAGTTACCATTTCGTAGAACAAAAAATGATGAGTCTTGAAAGCTGTTTTCTATTTCCTCACAGTCCAGAGAATTGAAAATGGCCTCTTGGCTCTCTGATCTAAGAGTGACAGCCACATCTGCATTTCTTTGTGTTCCTGTTGAAAACTTCACTCTCCATAAGCTCTAGGAATTTTCGCAGCAGTCTGGTTCCTTGCTACCCTGTTTTTAAGAGGGGGTATATGAAAATATGCAACTCTATCCAGTTTGGAGAGTTCACATTTCACAAGGGCAGAGAAACTCACACTGTGTTGTTAAAATAAGGCAAAACCATTTGAAGTGTGTATCTTTTATTTCCTTGTTCTTGAGTCACCTTTTTGAAGGAAAAGCTTATAGTCACATCCAGAAAATAAACCTGTATTTATGAATGTAGTTCATGTTGCACTATGAGGGAAAAAGTGGTTACAGTTAATGGCTTAAAGAACATTTTAAGAAGCGGCAGTTCACTGAAATGAATGTCTGCTGTTCCAGATACACAACAGATTGCTACTTGAGGGGACACACGCTGCATCTAGTTCCATAAGCATAATCTTTGCAATCTTTGCACATTCCCCTGTGATATCCCTATTGTGGAAGGCTGTGCACAAGGCACTGGTTATCCATAAATGCAACAGTATGTTCACAGCTCCGGAGCATAACAGATCATTTCTACAATGCTATCACTACAAAATGCATCTTTACATAAGGCACTTAGTTATACATCTGAATTCTAGATGCAGGCAAATTAAGGGATTATGCAATAAATCCTACAGCTAAGTGTTGTTTCTGTTGTCTTGAATTAATTCTTAAATGTGTCATGAAATCAATTCCTTTGCTTCTTTGCTGCAGAACACATAACTGGAAACACATTAACACTAGAAAGAAAAATTCTTGGGACCTGGAAAGAAGCAGCAGCTTTTGGCTCCACTACCTGAGCAACTACAGTGTATGAACAAGTTAAAAAGGAAATCTAACAGAGTACATAACTGCTTGAAAGCTCAGTATGTATTAGGAGTTCTGTTTCAGTCAAACTTTGTTTTTGTTAAGTTTACTAGTGCTCCCTCCTTACTCTGTAACCACAAGGTGGCAGTTTGGCCACATGATTTTCTCTTGTCTTTCAAATTTAGTATGAATGCCGATGTTTTGTGTTTCTTTCTCAAAATTAAATTAAAGTATCTACTGCCAAGATCAAACTATCAACATTGCTTGTATAGCCCATCTTCCTCAGCTGTTTGCCTTTGTTTAAAATGACATTTAATGCACTGGCAAAGTAATTTGTACTCACTAGAGAAAGCTACCCTGTCAAATCAAATTATGTCTCGTGTAGCCCACTGCTGTGGAAGAAGAGCCAGTCCACAATTCTAATTATAAGAAGGGTGGTGCCTTTGCTCTTTGGAAGAGTGGGGGGTGGTGGCGGGGGAATGTGTTGAATGTTGGTATGTCTGCTGGGCAAAGTGACTGTCCTGTTCAGGAAAGGGACTGTTAATGTTCTTGGCATATGTGAAGGGCACTAAAACAATAGGATCACAACCTATATTCATTGTGTGATTTCAGTTGGAAAACTGAAAGCATGTCACCTTTATAAACAGGAAGTAAAACTACTCCCTCTCCTTGCTTCCCCATCCCCTTGGTATGAAAGCTCTATGCCTGGCCGTAGGCTTATCCTCTGTGGCTGTTCAGCTGCTGGCAGTATTTTTTTAATTTATAATACTGGTACACTGTTGTGCTGTCCTGCAGGAATAAAAAAAAATCAAACATAAAATATAATCAGTTAAAAGGTGTGCAGGATTCTAAAGCCGCATAATACAATCTACAGCATTAACATTGCATCAAGAAGGACAGTAGGATGCTGCAAACAGCACCTTATAAATGATGCCTGGACAAAAAAGATCTTTCCTTTTCCTTTGTTGGCTTTAGAAATGCAGGGGTCTTAGTAGGATGATATTCTTTTTCTGAAAAGGTCTTATTTTAGCAAAAGGATCTTAACATGTAGCTACAACTTTCTGATGAAGACGAGACACTACTAAGTTCATACCATCACAGCTGACCTTAACACAAGGGAAGAGGAGAATATTGTAAACGATTAATTAAGCCACTGATCATGCTGGCAAAAGCATAATGGAGATGGATTTCAAACATCTTTCTATAAGCTATATTTCCAGTTTAAAAATTGTTCTTCTCATGTTGGACTTTCAGCCCGTCTCAAAATGCTATCATGTGAGGCCGCTTTAATCCCAGCATATGAGCCGCTTACGCCACAAAGTAAAACAGAATTTACTTGACAGAGAGCTCAGCTGTTCCTGCCAATGCCGAGAAAACCACCAGGCCATCAGCACTCCTTGACTCACTGAAGGGCTGTCAGGGAGCACTTTCTGAAACCAACCAGGATGCATTTTGCCACGGAAGATAATGAAAGGAAAACTGGCTCTGTTCTCTAGGATACCAGCTGTTTTGAGTGGTTCAAGTTGAAAGAATGTGTTTATTTTTTGCAAAGCTAGTGGGGGAGGTGGGAGTCGCAGCTGGCTTTAATTCTGTAGAATGTCCATCAAAGGCACTCTCAGTGGACATCCGACCCAAGGTAGAGGGCTGGCTGGGCTTCTTCCTTGAGGCACAGGTGATAATATGCCACTAGCAGAATCTGGCCCTATTATTCTTAGCCTTAGACATGTAAGGAGGCCAAGGTATTCTTGAAATGTGCCCCACTCTACAGGTACCCTTTCACACATTATTAGGCAAGACAGAATTTGGAGACATGAGCATGAGGGTAGCCTAAGCGTCATTATCAATCTGCTGCAGATTGATAACGTACGTGTGTTGCTTTTTGGAAAACTGGAAAAGCAGAATTTAACCTCTGAATGTATTGCTATTTATTTTGAGGGAGGAATGCAGGAGTAAAGCAGAAATGATATAGTACTGCTGCCATTACTACTGGATGTAGCAAGAGAATGTCCTCTAGTCTGTTTCACAATAGAGCAGGATCCTGTCATATACTGCTCACTTCAGTTAAAATGATGATAATTCACTCCTTCCTTCAGTTTCAAGAGGTTCAAGTTTTCTTCAAACTGTCCACCTGTCAGATCCTGTGGGGATGGAGAAATGAATGACTTAGTAAAGTCTGGTTAATTGCATGGCATCTCATCATTGAGATGCAAAGACTTTTTGAAGTAGTGCTGTTACAATTTCCATATAAAAATGAGCTGCATGTAAATTTCAGGGCTCTTTCTGTGCACATAGTATATACCAAGCCTGACAAACTGCAGTTCATTGCTCAGCATCATCTGTATATTTATATACTGTATTATTTGCTAAAAGCCACCACAGCAGCTCACAGCAATTTCAAAACAAACCTTAAAACACTAAAAACACAAAATACTGTAACACTGAAACCACAACCTAATTTGAAAGGCTCCGTTAAAGAGACTTGTCTTACACCGTTCCTGAAAGCCAAGCGAGAGAGGGAACCAAGTAGAGCTGAGAGAGCACATTTCCCTGTTCTGGAAGGCCAGGCAAACGTGTGTCCCTTGGAGTAATGGTGGCCTCAAAAGAGCTGCTTCTGCAGCTCACTTCACAGTAAGGCAGGCAGTTCCTTGGGCAGCCAGGTCCTAAAACATTTGGGTCCCAATCATATGCCTGGTAGATACAGGAAAAGGTGCAGTCCCTGCTACAACCCCATAAAGCCCTTTTGGGTCCTCCACCCTCATTGCTGGCACAGTTCTTGCTGTGCCAGCTGCAGCTCCAGCACATAGGACAGACTTTGCACAGCCCTGGGGGCTGCTCCAGGAGATGGGGGTGATAAGAGAGATGGCCTGTGAAGCATCTACCTCAATCCCTCCTCTTTGCAAGCAGAGATAAAAATACCACAGACCACTGAAATCAGCCATCTGTGCCAACCCTTGCCCCCTGCATTCTTCCTTCACTTGATTGAATGGCTGTAACTTACCAGGTTTTATGGGCAGTTACATGCAATATCACATTTAGGCATTAAAGGTTCAAGCTATCACCTTAATTAGAGCCTTTGAAAGTCAATTTGGAACAGGTGCAATATGGCCCCGATAGGCACCAGTGGGCAGCTTTGCTGCTATATTTTGCACCGAGTAGCTTCCAGACACTCTAGGGCAGGGGTCGGCAACCCACGGCTCCGGAGCCGCACGTGGCTCCTGAACCCCTCTGCTGCGGCTCCAATCTGCTCAAAGCTTCTGGAGCTCAGGAATGCAGTGCTAGCTAGTAAGTAAATTAGCTACTTAAGTAAAATGCTGCCGAAAGGATTCTGTTTGTCCCAATGTAATCTCCTTCATCTGAATGTTAAAAGCTGCGCTTGGGACCTGTCACAATTCACAGCACTCGACTGTTTATCTGCTAATCAGTCACTAAACACACCTATATCTCCTGGCTTTTACTCTTCAGGAAACTGTTCTCTTATTCAAAATATATGAAAGGAGTCCTACTAGTTTATAATGTGAAATTAAAATAACAGTTTTTAGTGACTGAACAAGAGCTGCAGCTAAATCATAATGAAGATATACATAGCATTAAGGTAAAAAATGATAGATGCAGTGTTATCTTCATTTTAGATGTCAAAACGGTTTTGCGGCTCCCAGTGTTTTCTTTTGTGTGGGAAACAGGTCCAAATGGCTCTCTGAGTGTTAAAGGTTGCCGACCCCCGCCCTAGGGGTAGCCTCACATAGAAAACACTGCATTAGTGTTTTCTAGATGTGACATAACCAGCTATTGCCATATCAAAGTGACTTGCGAAGGGTCACAGCCAGTGCACCAGCAGTGATTATTTATTTATTCGATTTATATCCTGATTTTTTCCTACAAAGGGCTCAAGGCAGCTTACATCATTCTCCTCCTCCATCTTATCCCCACAACAACAATCCTGAGAGGTAGGTTGGGCTGAGATGCTGTGACTGGCCCAAAGTCACCCAGTTGGCCCCATGGCCGAGCGGGGACTCGAACCCAGATCGCCTGGGTCCCAGTCACGTGCTCTTAACCACTGCACCACACTGGCAATCTTATATAAATATACTTCTTGCCACCACCACTTGGTGACAAAACAGTACCTAGAAGCACTTCCAGGCAGCAGACCTGACCCTTCAGAGGGAGTGCAGCTCCTTCCAGAACAGATTAAATCTCAATTCCAAAATCAGACTTCTACTGAGAAAATAACAGCTCCACTTTGTCTGGGTTTAAGCTTCACCTTGTTCTCCTTTTATAATCAAACCAAGGTAACATTCACATGTTTTGACTGCTTCCTTGGTGCTAAGTGACAAAGAGAATAATACAGCTGGGGTTCGTTATACCTTACTTCAGAGCTCTGACTCTCCTCTTGAAGCAGTTTCATGTAAAAATTTAGGACAAGACTGACCACTGTAAGTGGGACCCCATAAGCAAAAAGCCACACAGTTGACCAGTAATCTGCTAGCAGAACATATTGGATACAACCTGCCAGAAAGAACTAGAAGCCTCAAGGCCCAGCCCTGCTAGCTGGACCAGAAGAATACCACAGTTGGTGGTATCAAAACTCATTAAGAGTCCAAGGAGCACTACTATGATCTGAAAGGGCAACTGATACGGGTCCAAATAATCAATGTCATACCAGATAGATCTGGAGTTGCAACACCACCACCTTATCTTTGAGACTGACCTACAACAGGCAGATCTTTTGAGTCAAAGGAGTTTGAGTTACAAAGTTTCTTTACTAAAGGTCTTATCACTGCCCCTTTTAAGTAGAAATTGTGCCACTTTCATTAGTTTAGTAAACTTGCCATAATCACTTCTTTTGAATTTGTGAAGCTGGACCATTTGTTTACTCTTTCTGCCTTACTAGTTCTCCTGTTCCATAACTGTGTAGTCTCTAGGCTGAGACTGTATAAATTCTGTAGTCACAGCATCCTATATTCACAGCTCCTAACAATTATTGTCATTTCTAGATAAACTAAGCTATGAGTGTCTAGGATTCTCTTCCTATCTTACTGACCTTGCAGGAGCAAGAGATTTCCATATAATTACATCAGACTTGATGTATCTCTAGGTTTGTATGCAAGATCTCCCAATGCAAGGGTTTACGCATAGACAATGCTCATGACTGATAACATGTTTCCTATTTCTGACTGCATGGGATACCAGCATGCCTTGCTGACAAGTTGGATGGAAATTTATTGCCTGTGCAAAGGTTTTAACAAAAGTAAAGGTAAAGGTTTCCCCTTGACGTTACGTCCCATCATGCCTGACTCTAGGGGGCGGTGCTCATGTCCGTTTCCTAGCCGAGGGAGCCAGCGTTTGTCCGCAGACAGTCTCCATGGTCATGTGACCGGCATGACTAAACACCGAAGTGCACCGAATGCTGTTACCTGCCCACTGAAGTGGTACCTTTTCATCTACTCGCATTTATTATTTATTATTTATTAAAACATTTTTATGCCGCCCCATCTGCCGAAGCCTCGGGGCGGCTTACAACAGTAAGTTAGGTCATCATAAGTAAAAATTAAAATATATACATTTGCATGCTTTCAAACTGCAAGGCTGGCAGGAGCTGGGCCGGAGCAACGGGAACTCACCCTGTTGTGCAGATTCGAACCGGCGACCTTTCGATCAACCAGCCCAGCAGCACAGCGGTTTAAACCACTGCGCCACCTGCATCCCTTAACAAAAGTGCATGGCTGCAAATAAAATGTACAATACTGGTCAAGTTTCTTTTTAACATTAAAGGCTGTGTCCCTTATGGTAAGAAAAAATAACCTGACCATGGATAAAAGTATCTGTTTTACTGGCAGCTTTAAAGCTAAGTGAGGGTTTCCAAGCCACAGCCCTCTTTATTTCCATGAATACCTCCTGGCCACAAGTAAGCTCAAGAGACTTTCACAGGAACTGAAAATGGTGGCTGAAGTGCAATCTGCAAAGGTTCTTCTGCAACATGTTCAACCACCAAGAAAAAGAAGAGGTTGCTGGGAGGAGAAAATGGTAAGCCTTGTGTCCGGTGGCAGCCATTTTGTGGTGGTGTTTCAGACAAATTTCTTCAATTGCCCAATTGGGTGCGCATACGCCAGGAGTAGAGTAAGGAGCTTAATATGAGGCCCTTAACTTTAGCTAGGAGGTGATCAATAGACAATCTGATGCTGTGATTCAAGCGCAGGCCATGAAAGCTGCAGTTTGGTAAGTAAAGAAGTGATGACAATAGGTTGTGAAATTGCTCAAGGATTCAAAGATGAAAGCAGGAGGAATAAGATAAGGGGAAAGCTTTTCCCTCGATGTACATATTACCACTCATAAACTGCCAGTGATGGCCAGCTTGAACCAGTGCTGTTCAGTCAGTGCTATTCACTGACTTGAAGAAAACTGCAATAATTCTAACAGCAACACATTTCTGAGTCACAGACTACTTTTCAAGAAACAAACAAAAGACCAGCAGTAGCTCATTGCATTAACTATATGGATTTCGCATAATGAATGGATAAAGTGGAACTTTTAACCTAATAGCCTATTCTGCAACCATATAAGGTGACATCACCCCCTTGCCAATGACTGGCAAATAAATCAGGTGACATCATTGTCAACTTCAGCAATTATTTTGAGCCTTTAATTTCAGAGCACTTCTAATTATGTTTCTAGTGGGATTAGCCTCAAACAATACCTCATCATTTAGATTAGTGACAACAAAGGAGCTATTGCTTTCGCATAGGAACTGTAATACTTAGCATTTACACACCAATTGTCCTACCTATTCCTAACACCTCACTTGCATTCTACTGGGTAATCTTATCCCAGTTCTCCGTGGGATGCCAGTATCGTTCCTTATGTTATAGATGGGAAGTGGAGAGAGGGTAGTTTGATGGTGAGTTATGACCATACAAAGACCTGGACCAGGGATTTCTCCCTCCAGCACTTAAATACATATGCATTCCAGTATGTCATTAAACTCCATTCAGTATTGGTGAATATATTTTGAGTTAGAAATTCTGCTGCCTACAGAAACAAAATGTTTCTTCCAAAACACATTGGGTTTTAAATACAGCCAGGACAATTACAATGTCCTTTTAGAGAGCTAGCTATGTTTACTTTTTAAGCCATCACGCTACTT